TTGTACTAATAGTTGTAAAGAATAGGCTTGGACGATCGTTGCACAAGAATTTATCACGTTCATTAAAATGACTTTAAAAATCGTCGCTATAGTTTTTGAAGAAACTTCGACGTGAGGTTAAATTCTAGCTCCCGTTCTGTTTTCAATTTCCAACAATTCAAAAGACTTGTAACTTCGAGAAATATGAAATTAGCAAATCGGATTTTTTGGCAAATACATGAAATACTCCTCCAAAAAGTTAAAAAAAAATGTATAAAAATATTTCTGTAATGGAAGATTATCAGTGTACAAATTACACCTTAAAATTTAAGATACCTAATTCAATGAATTTAAAAATAAATTATTGTTATTGTGAAGTATGGAAGATTTTCGTCATCTTGTTTTTTATTAACTTTCCGTAAGGTAAGTTATAGTAATCTCAAAAAATCGAAAATGAAAATTTTATATATTTTACGTTTCAAAAGTTTCTGAACATTTTGGCATACCTTAGAAAATAGACGTTTATGTGTATGTGTATGTGTATGTGTATGTATGTATGTGTATGTGCGGATACAAATTTTCGTCGACGTTTTCGGGAACACCGATTAACCAATTTGAATAATTCAAAAAACATTCGATTTGTATTAACAAGGAGACGTGCTAATTAGTTTTTGGTGAAGGCAGGTCCAGCCTTTCCGAAGATACGGGGCAAAAAGTGCAAAAAATGGTAACTCAGTTTTAAGAGAACGAAGCGTTCGATTTTAATAATTCAAAAACATTTTACTTGTATTGACAAGATGAAGAACTGATTAAATTTCTGGAAAGGCAGGTCTGGTGGTTTAGGAGATCAAGTAAAAAAGTAAAAAAATGCCATTTGGAGGTGATAAATGATCATTAGATATATGCACATCAAATTATTAGATATTTTATGGAGACTTTAATAATGTGTATCAATTTTGTTTACATTTTTATGGGCTCCGTAATATCGTTTGTCCGTTAGACGGCGAAGCGGCGCTTATGCGATTTGATATTTTGTCTCTATGCAGCTAAAGCAGTGCTAATGCTTTATAAAATTTTCAAAATTTCCAAAATATTTTAAATCCAAAAAAAATCCAAATTTTTTTCCAAGAAAGTAAATTTTTTTTAAAATTTGAAATTTCTTAAAAATCAATTTTTTTAGTTTGAACATTTTTTTTATCGTTTTTAAAAAAAATAATTTTTGGTACGAGAAGTTTGCCCTAAGGCACAATGCCATACACCACTAGTTATACAACTATTTTTGCAATGTATATTTAACTCCATGCATTTCTGAATGCAAATAGTCACCAGCTTCACCATTATTTCCTTCTATTCTGGTGTGCAGTTCGAAATCTTCCGGATGTGTAGTTCTCCGTATGTTGGGACTGAGATAAGGCATGATTTGTTATAGGACGGATTCGTGGACAACTGCTCTACATTGACAAGAGAATTTGGCAGATCGGTACCATTATGGCATCGATTGCAAGAACACGCTATTTGACATATGTCATTTCATATGAATATATCAATAAATACTTGCTTGGATATTGCAAGATGAAAAGCAATAAGTCGAAAAAAATAAGAGAGAAAAATAATGAATTGATACTGGGATATACCAGAATATTCATTTCTATAGATGTCATAATGTGTATTGTCTCTTGAAAAGAAAAAGTATATGTTTTCAATTTAAGATAGCCTATTTGGTCACATCGGGGTAAAATGGCAAATAAAAATAAATCATCCTCAATGTTGAAATAATTTTGTGGATATATGGTTCTTCCTTTGAGTAATATGAACTTTATCTTATAAGACTTTTTCAGCTTGTCAAAAGTGTGAAATGCAAAACGCAGATTGAAAATTTCACATAATACTTTGCTCGCAATATACAGTTACAAG